TTTTTTTTTTTTGAGTTGGAGTCTCACTCTATCTCCCAGGCTGGAGTGCAGTGGCACACTTACCACCACCACAGACTCGACCTGCTGGGCTTAGGAGATCCTTCTGCTTCAGCCTTCCAAGTAGCTGAAACTACAGGTGCACGCTACCATGCCCAGCTTATTTTTTGATTTATTGTAGAGACGAGGTCTCACCAAGTTGCCCAGGCTGGTCTCGAACCCCCAGGTTCAGGCAATCCTCTCACCTCAGCCTCCCAAAGTGCTGGGATTGTAGGCTGAGCCACCACGCCCAGCCAGAAAAAATGATTTTCAATGTTATTTTTTATTATTTCAAAGAGCTATTGGAAAACTGCAAATATAGAGTCTTACACAGAAAGTCATAAAGGGTTTGCTTCTCTGTTCTAGAAAAGGAAGTTAAGCTTCAAAATTCTTTATGTAATCACAAGTAGCTTATCCACAAAAATCAAAACAAAGGTTTCCTAAGATAAATTTCCACTTGGCCAACTCTACACTTCCCACACTTCTGCAGTCCCTAACCTTTGGTGTCAGTTTATTTCCCTGCTCTTCACATCTCTTCTAATTTGTAAATATAAAAACAAATGTATATTGGTGGATAATTTGTTTATTTTATGTATATTTCAAGCTTGGGTAGTGAATTACTAACAAAACCCAAAGGACAGCTCAGATTTCTTCAGCCCCAAACTTAGGAAAGGAATCAGCTTCTCATCATAATCAAGGTTCTTATTTTTTACTAGTTTATATAAGCATGACATTTCTTTGACAGAAATATATGCTTTCACATGATAGCTACTTTCTGTATACGTGCTGTGGTTTTTGTAAATAAAGAAGTCATGTTCAGTGGTCTGTAAATGTGCCAATAACTACTTCACGGCAAGACCTTCACCCCACCAGAAATGACCAGAACGCCTAAAATAATATTTTTCTTCTGAAATCTGGCAGAAATTCAACATATATTCAACTCCTCCTGCTGGACCAATTCCATTACAAGTTAAACTAATCAAATTATGCTGGTTTGGGCAGAACTAGCTCAAGAAAACTGAAAGGACTACAAAACTCTATAATAAAAATGATGAATTTTATTACGGTACTTTCATACTAATGTATTTCCATCTGAAAACTGAATCAGTGCTCCCAATGAATAAGATTATCAATATTTTTTAAAAATTCAATTACCTAAGAACTCTGAGATATAAATACCCAGTATTTGTTTCAGAAAACCTTCAGTACTAACCAAGTTCACTGGTTACTTATTATTTCCATAGAGTCTGTCAGTCTAATCACTTCATTCGTCCCTGAACATACTCTGATTAGTCCCTATCTCTGAGCTTTTGTTCACTCTATGCATCCTGGAAGGCACTCTCTTTTCCACATATTCAGATTTCTCTCCTATTTCCAGAAACAGCTAAGGGCCATGCATGGTGGTTCATGCTTGTAATCCAGCACTTTAGGAGGCCAATGCAGGAGGATCACTTGAACCCAGGAGCTTGAGACGAGCCCGGGCAACATAGTAAGACCCTGCCTCTACAAAAAAAGAAGAAAGAAGGAAGAAGGAAGAAGGAAGAAGGAAGAAGGAAGGAAGGAAGGAAGGAAGGAAGGAAGGAAGGAAGGAAGGAAGGAAGGAAGGAAGGAAGGAAGGAAAAAGAATCAGCTTAAACTTTCTCCTCCATAAACTCCAACTGTATTGTCCCTACTGTGAATCCATAAGTACATCTACTACCTATATCTCTCATATGACAATAATTTGAAGAGGCAGAAAAGTGAAGTAGTTATGAGCACAGACTGTAGAAGTAGACAGCTAAGGTTTAAATCCTGCTCTCTCGCTTCTTAATTTTATAACCTTAGGCAAGTTAACCTCCTTGCGCCTTCATTTTTTTCATCTCTAAAAGGCATAATAATAGTACCTATAATACTCAGCCTCAACCTCTAAGCTGGAAGTGGTTTGGAGTACTGCAAAAACTAATACAACAGCTGAAAAAATATGAAATGTGATCTCAAAAAAATAACATAAGTGGAATTCAGATGTTAGATTCACAGGCCACGGTTTTGTTATACCATGTGGTCAAGATCTGAAAGCCTGAGAATGGGTTTATTACCATTATAGCTCTGGACAAAGTCTGAAAAACAGAATTGATATCCTGTTACATAGAAATCCAAGTTGTGAGTCATCGAAGTAGAGCATAAGAGAATATTCTACTTAAACTGGGCTCCATATATTACCAATATGTGTACCTACAAATACAGTAGAGAAAATAGAAGAATTCAGGATGTGGTTTCAGAAATGATGAAAAATGAGCATTTATTGATTATACACCCTTGGTACTAGTTATTCTAATAATAGCAGGGTGAATGGCAAATATTTCAGCAAGAAAGAGCACCCTGGTGCTAGGAAGGGGACTGACTTATGAAGACAAAGAGGCACTATGATGTTAATGCTTCTCCCAGAGTAACCAAAGGAAAGGAAGAGAATACAAAGTTCACCAAAGTGCCAACATGTGCATCTTTTCTGTTTGTAGATCAACATTCAAGCCCCTGACCTCAAATGAAGTGATCCAAGTTAAATGAACAGTATAAGCAACTGTAATGAATATAAACCACTGTGAGCATTCAATAAATTACATCAGGATAATTTGTTAGCTCGTGAATACAGTAAAATCTCAGACCTTTCACAGTTCTAGAAATTCATGTGGAACCAGATAGGAGTTACTGCAGAAATAATGCAATCCTCTTAGTAGGAAGCTAGCAATATGAAAAAGAAGAAATGAAATTTCAGCTGAAACAATGGAAAGGACCTATAGTCAAAGACAAGTGAAGAAGTGCTGACTTTTTTAACGAGGTAGAATCTTGGACACCAGAAGAGCATAAAGGAGTCTACAACATGATTAATGGTAAGTCACCAGTGTGGATGTTAATGGGAACGAAACAATATGATACCAAAAGCTAATTAGAGACAAGTGTGAATGAGATGCCAAAAAGCTCATTCAATTGCCTAAGGGTAAAGATGAAATAAACTGACATATAAGTACCAGGTTTCCTTTTGATACCCTGTAATTCTTGGGAATACTGTGTCAAGAAATAGAGAAGAGTAATGAAAATGGTTCTTAGAGAGACCATAATCTTTGGCAATAGTTTTTCTGTTATTGTCTGGTTTCTCAAAAACAATTAAATACTGTTATTTGAACACTGAAGAAGAATAAGAAGCTAAAATCTGGTGCCAAACTGTTTTAAGCATTTGAAAATAGAAGCATAGAGTCCTAGAGAAAAGACAATAAATATGTACTTTCCCAAGGACTTAAACTTACAGGATGATTTTGATGTAAAAGTATCCAAAGCAATCATTGCATTTAAATCAAATGCTGTACTTTTTGAAACATTCCAAGGACCAAGACATAAAATGCTTTTGGCACTCAACAAAAAGAGAGTAGTTTTGCTTACAAGTCCCATAAGTCCTCTCTTTGTGCTCACACACTTGATCTGGTAAGAAATTATCTACTTGAACATACTAAAGATGTCTTCTGGGCCTTTCATATACCTAGTAGGCTCCCTCTCCATCCAACCATCTCGTGCCACTGCTCTGTAAAAGTCCATCTTCTAAAGAATTTTAACTGTGTTCTGGTACTCAACTTCTTTCCACTAATGATGAGTTTTTAGAAAAATATTAATTGCGACTGAAGGTTCTAATGAATGTGTCCTCTCTGTTTGTGTCTCTTTTTGAAGTCCTTTCTGAGTTGCTGAAATTAACTGTGATGCTCAGAGTTTGGTACAATACTGTGTTAGACCCTTGCAGATAAAAAAGAACTATAAACACAGTAAATGATTTGTATAAGAAAATGAAAAAACTGTGTCCTCAGCCCACTCACAATACAGATCTCCTAGGACAAAGCAATGTTAAGTTGATAACACTGCTGTTGCTAAACTAAAATGATTATAAAATTATTGCATTTAAGCATAGATACTGGAAAACTAATTGTAACTACAACTAATACACAACACTCACAGGACTCTGCTTCACCAATACAGCCTGAAAATCTTTCCATAGCCTTTTGCAAAATTATATAAATACTTTTGCAAAACTCAATTTCTGACTCGTTTTTACTCATCCAACAATGACTTCACTCTTGCTTTTCTTTTTCCTTTTATTTTTAGTTGACATAATAGATGAATATATTTATGCAATATACAGTGACATTTCAATACATGTATACAATGTTTAATGATCAAATTAAGGTAATTCACATATTCATCCCCACAAACATTTTTCATTTCTTCGTGTTGAAACATTCAAAATTTCAACTTTTTTTCTAGCTTTTACAAAATAGACAATAAATAAGAGTTACCTATATTCACCCTTCAATGTTATGGAACATCAGTACTCATTCCTCCTATTTAGCTATAATTTTGTGTCTATTAACTAACCTCTCCCCATCCTCCCTCTTGCCTACCTTTCCCAGTCTCTAATATTCACAATTACATTTTTTAATTCCATGAGGTCAAAAAAATTTTTTAGTTCCAACATACGAATGAAAACATATAGTAAGTGTCTTTCTGTGCCTGACTTATTTCCCTTAACATAATATCCTCCAGGTTCATCCATGTTGTTGCAAATGATAGGATTCCATTCTTTTTTATGGCGAATAGTATTCCACTATACATAATTATAATATATATATAATGTTTTACCATTTACCTGTTGACGAACATGTAGGTCGATTCTATACCTTGGCTATTGTGAATAGTGCTGAAATAAACATGGTGGTGCAAGTATCTTTTGAACATACTCATCTTCTTTCCTTCAAATAAATATCTAATAATGGGTTTGCTGGATCATATGGTAATTCTATTTTTAGCTTTTTGAGAAACTCCCATTCTGTATTCCATAATGGTGATTACTAATTTACATTCCAAGCAACAGTGTATAAGAGCATCCTTTTCTCCATATCCTTGCTAACATTTGCTATTTTTTGTCTTTTTGACAACAGTCATTCTAACTGAGGTGAGATGATATTTCATTGTGATTCTGAATTGCATTTCCCCAAAAAATTCGTGATGCTGAGCACTTTTTTCATATATTTGTCAGTCATTTGCATGTCTTCATTTGAGAAATTTCTATTTAGATCTTAGATCCTTCGCCCATTTTAAAATCAGACTATTTGTGGGCTTTTTTTTTTTTTTTTCTGTTGAGTTGCCTGAGTTCCTTGCATATTCTGGATATTAGTCTCTTTTCAGATGAGTAGCTTGCAAATAGTTTCTTCCATTCTACAAGTTGTCCCTTCACTCTATTAATTGTTTCCTTTGTTGTATGCAAGCTTTTTAGTTTGATAGTAGTCCCATTTACCTATTTTTGTTTTTGTTGTCTGTGCTTTTGAAGTTTTGCCCACAAAAATCTTTGCCTAGACCAATGTCCTGAAGCAGTTTTCCTGTGTTTTCTTCTAGTAGCTTTACATTTTATTATTTATTTTAGAGTTGTGGGGGAACATATGAAGATTTGCAACAGAGGCAAATTATGTGCAGATGAGGTTTGGGCTTCTAGCAAGCCCTCTCTCCCCTTGGTAGTGGACATAGTACCCAATGGATGGTTGTGTGCCACACTGCCCTCCTCCCTGCCTCCCCTTATTAGCAGAGTCCAGCTTCAGGTCTTCCCACCTTTGGGCCCATGTGATCAATGTTTAGGGTCTGATTATGAGTGGGAACATGCAATATGCAGCTTTTTGTTTCTGTAATAGTTCATGTAGAATGATGGTCTCCAGTTGCATCCATGTTGATGCAAAGGACATGATTTTGTTCTTCTGTATGGCTGGCTAGTCATCATCATGTATATGTACCACATATTCTTTATCTAGTCTACTTCTGATGGGCATCTGGGTTGGTTCCATGTTTTTATTTTTGTGAATAGTGCTTCAGTGCACATACATGTGCAGGTGTCTTTTTTGTAGAGTGATTTACGTTCCTCTGGGTATATTTCCAGAAGTGGTAGCTCAATTTTTAGCTCTTTGAGAAAATTCCGTACTACTTTCCATGAAGACTGAACTAGCTTACATTCCCACCAACAGTGTAGAAGCATTCCCTTTTCTCCGCAGCCTCACCAACATCTGTTTGTTTTGTTTTTTTTTAACTTTTTAATGATAGCCATCCTGACCAGTATCAGGTGGTATCACATTATAGTTTTGATATGCATTTCTCTGATGGTTAGTGAAGCTGAGCATTTTTTCATATGTTTGTTGCCTATTGGGATGTTTTTCATTGAGAAGTGTCTGTGCATGTCCTTTGTCTACTATTTAGTGAGGTTATTTTTTTTTCTATCAATTTGTTTGAGCTCCTTATATAAATAGATTCTGAATGTTAGGTCTTTTGTTGGGTGCATTGCTAATATTTTTTCCCATTCTGTGGGTTGTCTTTTCAAGTCGTTTTAGTCTTACATTTAAGTCTTTAACCCATTTAAGTTGATGTTTTTATATGATGAGAGATAAGGGTTTAGTTTCATTCTTCTGATATCCGGTTTTCCCAGCACCATTTATTAAAGAGGATGTCCCTTTCCCAATGTGCATTTTTGGCATCTTTGTTGAAAATCGGCTGGCTGTAAATACATGGATTTATTTCTGAATTCTCTATTCTGTTCCATTAGTCTATATTTTTTTACCTATAACATTCTGTTTTGGTTACTATAGCTTTGTAGTATATTTGAAAATAGTGTAATGTCTCCAGCTGTGTTCTTTTTGCTCAGAATTGCTTTGCCCATCTGAAATCTTCTGTGGTTCCATACAAATTTTAGGAATGCTTTTTCTATTTCCGAGAAGAATGTCATTGGTATTTTGATAGGGATTGTATTGAATCTGTAGATTGCTTTGGGTAGTACACTCTTGCTTTTTTAATATCTTTCAATACCATTATCTACTGAGAATTTTTTTAAAACCTGCTCCAGGCTATTCTTAACCCTTTTTACTCAAAGACATGCCGCAAATCACCTACCAGCAACCTGACTGCACTTTTTTACAAAATAACGAGAAACAAATCACTTAATATTAAATAGTATACCGTTGGAACCAATTATTTTATTGTAATGATATATGGCTTATAATGGAATTTTGGACATTGAGGAACTTATTTATGACACAAAAATCAAAATTTTATAGCTTATGTTTTTCTAATGTGTGGCAACATATGAAACAATCACCGACATGTATTATAGGTTTATTGATACATGCTATGCAATAGTAATTTGATGACCTGCACCTGGTGTTTTTCTATTCGAGCAGATAATACAGTCTCGTTTTCTTCCTCCCACATTTCGAATATATAATTTATTGTCTGTTGTGAAAAGATGATGTGGAAGGATGCACTCATGATTCCTGAAAACCACTTCTCAGCTGATTGATCAGAAGCTTGACAAACCTGGGACACAGGTTTTTCATTGTTTTTGAGTGGAAAACTTCAAGGAAACATAAATTTTTGAAAAATTTGTGCTTGCATAAGTTTGTCCTGTATAACCACCAGCAATCTCTTTATATCTCTGAGAGAAGACATCTGAGTGGTTTGCTAGATTTACAATGTCCCCTCAGAGAGAACAATTGATGCAAAGGGGTAAACTTTTCACTCTTCCCAAATTCAGAAGACATACAAAACATACTGTAATACTGATGGCATCTTCTGTTCAGTCTCAAATTAGTAAAAACTAGAAGAAATGTGCTTAAAATGCATTAAGGCTTAGTATTTATCTTGTAACCAAAATTGAATATATTTAAAAATTTATTTAGTGAGTTCAAACTTTTCTGGGAAATATTTTTAAATGTTATCAATATGAATTATAAGCAAGGAATTCTAAAATTTACTTTTGTAACTAAAATAAGTTATAATCTATAAAAAGTGTTTTTTAAAAGTACCACCAGATTTTAAATTTTTGTTTTGTATTCCATATTTTATTTTATTTGTTTATATTTTATTTTGCTTTATTATAATATATGGGGTACAAGTTAGGATTAGCTACACAAGCAGGCTGCATGCAGGTGAAGTTTGGACCTTCAACTGGCTCCCACCTCCCCTGGTTTAGGGCCAGGTACCCTCTGTGA